AGTCATACATTTATAACGCACTTTTTTGTTTATCTGTCAGACAGAATATTAAACGTGAAATGCGTTGAAAGATGAGAAACATTTGAAAAGCTACTAGTGAATTTCCTACGGACTTATTTTTACACATTTCCGAAATAAAACTGTTTGACAGCCTCAAATACTGCGCTCTGATTGGCTGAAATCTGAGTGAGAAAAATAATCAGTAGTAATACTACGAGACCTCCAAAATTATCGGATATTTTTGCAGATTAAAATCCCGAGCGCGCAGCGCCAGGGATGAAAAAATTCACGGATGAAAAAATTCAACCCACGGTTACTCGTTCAATGAGCGCGACGCCGCCCGTTTTTGTCTATTTATATTTTTGTTTTTCTTGACGTTTACAAATTCTTAAAAATTAGAGTTCCTAGTTCAATCTTTTTATTGAGCGTTGGCATTGTCTGTTTTTTTCTCCAAAAATTTGTTTAGCTACAAAAAAAAGACAAGTCGAACGGACAGAAAAGCGCGCCGCTCCGCCCGATGCGAGTGAATCTCTGTCGACCACTCGTAGTCCAGTCAAATTAGATTTTGTATATCGAAATTAACCAAAGGGCACCAAATTACATAAATCGATAGCTAAAAGTGTAATTATTAATGTTTTAAAAAGTATATGCTCCAATTTGCCGGGGTGATTCACAATTTGTTATAAACAATTGGATNCTGTTTTTTTCTCCAAAAATTTGTTTAGCTACAAAAAAAAGACAAGTCGAACGGACAGAAAAGCGCGCCGCTCCGCCCGATGCGAGTGAATCTCTGTCGACCACTCGTAGTCCAGTCAAATTAGATTTTGTATATCGAAATTAACCAAAGGGCACCAAATTACATAAATCGATAGCTAAAAGTGTAATTATTAATGTTTTAAAAAGTATATGCTCCAATTTGCCGGGGTGATTCACAATTTGTTATAAACAATTGGATATTGGCGACAGGCCATCTTCAATCCTAGATATCTTTAGTTAACCTCACCAGATGGGGAAAAAAAAATATTTCTTTGTAGCTTAGAAAGTTCCCTATCGGGGGGAGTTGGGAACTTATAGCTCAAAATGTACCGTTAATTTATTATAAATTATAAGAGCAATTTCGGAGCAGTCGGCGCAACGCGTCACCTGTTACCCTCCCTGTACCAGTGCCATGAGTCACGTGATTGGCGCCATGCGCAACTTATTCAAACCTGCTGCGCTCAACGCAATAGCCCTCAGCTGGGTTTTTGATGAATATCTCCGAATCTGTGGGTGGTAGCCAAATTTTCATTATAAACTTGTTTGGTGAGGAACTAAGTTTAGGGTGGATTGGGAGGTTAGAGGATCGTCCGTGTGAAATAACTGTTGAGAGTCTTGACCTAATATGAACGTTAATTTATTCTCGCGTTCAAACCACGCTTTGTCAAATTTAGAAAACACCTTGTCACTAGTTGATCGTACTGAATTAGTTTTAATTGTTTATAGTTTTTACACTGTTGAGTCACTGGTTAAATGGCTAATAAATAACGTGATTTTCTTCTTAATGAATTTTTATCGCCGAGCTAATAGACGTTAATGTACTGAATAGGTTTACACTCTGCGCGTTAGTCAAATACGGAGTTGAAATCTAATCAAAACTGACTACTTGGCCGATCGTTTTATACTGACTCGCGTTGATTTACGGTGACTCTACTAGACCTGAGCGTTGACCCGGAAAAGACCGATGATTTTCGTAATTGGTCGAGCTTGTCGACCTTGGTCTTGGAGAGGTTGGGTTGCGTTTCAAACAAAACTTTTTTGTAGATTTTTATTTTCTCTATAAAAATGGTTTTAACAAAAATTTTGCTATTCTCCAACATTTTCGAGATATTCAATGAAAAATAAAAAATAGTCAATGTAAAATTGAAAAATTTGCTACTGAATTGTCGGCGGACAATTTCACTTATTATTGATCAAAATGCCTTTTTTTATATCTGAAATTTTACTAATTTTATAATTCCTCTGATGCA